GCTATGTTTAAGCAAAATTTATAAATGAAATTATTTTGAGTCAAATTCATACCCTAGTCATTCCTGTCGCCTTATCAGCAGTCTCGGCAATTGGCAAGCGCGTATAACGGTCGCGTCTCAGGCAACTCAGGTATCTTGAGACCTCCACGATCCCTTCCTCGAAGTTACCATAAGTATACTGACGATATCCGTATTGGGCTCCCGTGTCCCGTGTCGACTCGGGCGTACTTTATTCACCCTTTTACCTAATACAGTAAAAAATGTCAGGATTACAATTTCTTCTGTTGCGGGAATTACACGCGGAATGACGGAAACAGCTGAACTTAGATCGCCTTTGCCTCATAAGCTCACCCGGGCTTGAGGGAACCAACATTGACGATTTCGCGAGCCAAGTTGATTCCGCCTTCGCAAAATCGAGTATATCTTGCAGATTCGAGAAGTTCTGGTCCTTACATGAGACAAAATCAGCTGTGGAATTACTATTATACCTAAAGAAGAAAATGAGAAGAAATGCTTAAGTAACCAAAAATATTTACAAAGAGTTGTTTATATGGCCTTAATATGGGAACACAGATAACTATACATTCCGGAATACTGCGTAGAGTCACGGAAATCTCCTTAATGAAACGTTTCTGTCTCCGTACTCTGTCCAGGTGGCCAGATAAGACATTCTTACCAGCTTTTTAGACAATCAAAATAAATGAATCAAAATATGTTACTGAAACATTTCGGATACAACGAACTCACCCTATAGGAACAGAGATTGATGAACGCTGAGCTAATTCTGCGATTTGTTGATTGGAATCACCATGGTTGGATAGTAGATACTTCCACTGGCCGATAAGGGTAGGCATTTTAATTAAAATTGTAATCAGGAGGGAGAAGATATCTAGAACATAAGAAAAACGAATATTGTTCGTCAAAAGTCATCAGCTTCTACCTAGACGTAAATGGGTTACTTCCATGAGAGGAAATTTGCAAAAACTGCCAGCCTAAATACCAGTACATAATAAACTAAAATATTACAGCCATGGCATAAAGGAAGAAATGCGATAGATACCTTGCATCAGACAAGTTGGAAAACGAGTGAAAAGTGTAACGAGAGAAGTGAAGATGACATTGAAAAAGAGTCGGCTGCACGAACGAGTAAGGAGACTGAGCTTGGATGATTCAGACGAGCGTCCCATCTTCCGCGCTAGCTCTGCGTAGACTGCGTTGAATGCCTCAGGGCAGTATCGATCGGGCGCAGGTCGCAGTTCAAATGCCAGCGTAGGAGGGCCGAGTTTGAAAGGTTGCATGCGCGCGTGTTGGTCAGGTAGATGGGAAACATTCCGCATCAAAATTAGTCCCTTCCCTGCTGTCCAGACGACGATTCACTCGGATTTATATGCATTTTCCGGTTGCTGTCTGTATAAGACTGTTATTTTCCTGAGCGCTTTCAGGTACGATGGTGTCTAGACATAGGTCTGCGAAAAAATGTAAACAAACATAGAAATTAGGAAGCCAATCGACGCATGCTGGCAATATACGTAAATCCTAAAATTTTGAGTATTCAAGTGCTAGCTTGATCCACATGGATAATGCTGAACGTTTTCTTGACATATGGTTGTTATTAGTTGGGGGTATTTATAGCCGAATCACGTCGTGACCTATCGTCAAACTACCAGGTACATGGTGGCACTATACGTCAACGTTGAAATGTTTGTAACTTAAGTGCTGCATTTACCTGTATAGATAAGGTGAAATGCTTTCTGCCGACCTAAACCGGCAAGGCATCGAGCTCGTGGCTCAACGGTTAGACTCTGATCAAAGAGGTCGCGTGTTCGAGACTTGGATGGAACTGCACTTGTGTGTGGGTATGAGCGACTGGTGACGGCTACTAAGCCAGAAATGGCCATTTCGGTCTCCC